GGAAAAAAACAGCATTGGAATAAGTATCACCTGTGCATCCCTTTCTGGGTTTCAGAACGTCATTAACTGGGCACCTATTAAGAGTGATTTATAGAGAAATAAGGACAAGCCCCTTCAGACGCAAGTTGAAGAGATATAGTACATATAGTATAGTATTTATTAAATATACCCCACCTACAGCCAGGTGTTTTCCCTAAAGGAAAGACTGAGTGCAGAGACAGGTGAATGCAGCTGGATCCCACAGATCAATGAGCCTGAGTAGCTCAGAGTTCAGTCTGAACAAACACTGAAGACACCAGGGCCCCCAAGACCAGCTCATTAAGACCTTTAGCTGAAATAACAACCAGGAGGCCCCGCGGTGCTTTAGTCTCCAGCGAGACTTCCCGTGTCCCGTGTCCCATGTCCCGTGTCCTGGGTGCCCCCCCCGCGCAGTAACTCACCCACTTCCCCCATGACCCTCAGGCCTTCCTGGTAGTTGGGACCGCCCCGTCGGACAAAGATGGTGACCTCGTGCTCCTTCAGGGGGACCTGGTAGTCCTTGATGGCCCTCACGATGCCCTAGGAGGGAAACACCAGCACGTCACCCTCCAGCCCCTGCCAGCCCCTGGGCCTCAGCATGTACGGCACTGGCAGGGGACAGAGCCATGCTGGCACTGCCAGGCCAGTGCGGATCAGACGGCACATACAGTACAGGGTAGAGGAGCTAATCTGCCATATGTACATGTACAATGGAATTCCTCTTCACGCTGATCACTCAGGACATGCACAAGACATTACAAACGGGCACATACTAAATCATAACAACCAGAACAAAAAACGTGTTGCAGAGAACAATAAACATGTGGTAGTGGGGAAAAAACATGGTCATCCCAATCAAAAGTGCAGAGTGCAGAAGTGCACTGAGCTCTGAGGCATTGCACAGTTAGCATTTAAGGATGTGCACTGCTGTAGGGGGGTAGAGGCAGTTCTTAAACCCAGTGGTCCGTGCTTTACTGGCGAGATACTGCTAACTTTCGTTACGTCATAAACGGTCAGCAGCAGGGTTGATGCTTCATTTAATTAGCTGAACCTTCACTGATAACTTAGTCAGCTGGAAGACATGTGAATGGAATAGACTAGAGAGCTCTCCTACAGCACCCCGGAGAAATACCAGCAAACTGAAACACTTCACTGCTGGGCCTGGCTATGTTCCTGCAGCACAGGGGGGCCTACTGGAGCCTCTTCTTGAAGGACTTTAATTCTGTAAAGACCAAGCAGCCTCACGTAACCCCCGCCACACCCCTCATCACCTTGAACGTTGCCGCCACGTTGGTGAAGTTGGCGATGCTGCCTCCAATGATCAGGACCTTCCCTGTGGCCAGAACAGACAACAGTGAGGAGAAGCACAGGCATGGTTGGGTCCTTCCAGAGCTCTCTGTTAACACTCAACAGGGTCCACAAGAAAGTGCAAAAACGAACAAAACATTCTCCTCAAAGCTTTAAGACACGATTCGCTTTTTCTCGCCCGGAAACAATATCAACCCGAATGCTCGCGCTGTTGCCGAATCGCTTAAGTCGTGACTACTGGCACAGCTGGGTTTGCCAAAAAAAACTCCTAACATTCTCCGACAGAGTGGTACTAAACCCACACTCATCACCGGAGCAGACCCCCTGGTCCAGACCACCCTTAGTCCCATAGACTACCCACACACACACCTCGGTCCAGACCACCCTCACACCCCGGCCCAGACCACACACGCACATCCTGACCACCTACACCCCCGAGCACCCACCTTCATTGTGCTTCTCCCGGGTCATCAGGGACAGAATGGTCTTGGCGTAGTCGTAGGTCTGCTGCTCGCTGGGGGCCCCCGAATACTCGCCGTAATTAGCCAGCTCGTTAACACCTCCCAGGTCGCAGATGGTGTCGCTATTAAAATTGAATGAAAACAAAGAACGAGGGCTCTTTATTTACAAGCTCAGCCATTCGGCTCGCCAGTCGGCTGAAGCTCGCCCACAAGCGCATGGACACTCTGCTCTGATCCTCCAGGAGCATTTGTCCATTTTCTCACTGCTTCATCCAGTACAAGGTTGTAGCGGAGCCAGAGCCAAACCCGGCAAAGCAACAGGCACAGGGTGGGATACTCCCTGGATGAGGCACCTGTCCATCCCAAGGCCCACACAGAGACATACAACTTGGCCCTGGTACGAGTGTGTCTTTGGACTTTGGGAGGAAACCAGATCACCTGCAGGAAACCCACATGAAAGTGGGGAGAACATACGAACTCCACACAGACAGCATTTGGATTTGAACCCATAGCCCCAGCTCTGCGAGACAACTGCGGCACTGTGCCACCCTGTACGTATATTACTAAAACTGCAGTAATCTGGAGAAGGACTACCACAGCAATTTAAACAAAAGGAGAAATTATTCGCCATGCCCCTGCAAGCAAACAGTGCATTTTTATTCCAAATGTTATCGACCAGGACTGAAGCATTTTAATGATTCAAGGCTCCTATTAGGCAGCATCATATGCAAGTATTTCATTTTCATTGCAGTCAAATGAGCCATGTCTTCGCAAGATCGCTTGGCAGAGAAGCCCAGAGTGACTCAATCTGTTCTGCGTCTGCCGAGTTACAGGTCCCGAAGTTGCTTTGCTCACAAATTAATCAGGAGGAAGCTGGGGCTTTTAGGCTCGGCTGTCTAACTGTCAACTCTTGAAACGTATGGACGGGACATAAATTTGTGGTCCTACTGCAAGCAGCTCTAGTGTCTGTGAGTGGAAGACGCCTGCCTGATATCACACGGTAAGTAGGACTCCCCAGAAC